ACAAATTGATTGTACGATTATGTGTTGTATTGGTTTCGGTTTGAGGTATACTGGTGAATCAGCTATGACTGCAGGGGTTGAGATTGAGGATGACTCGAGTAAGGGGATTTCTGGATACGGGTTGTATTACACTCTATGGGTATATGGGAATCATGGAATGATTGAGTGGTTATTGGTGAATGATGTAGTGCACACGGAGTATGAATTTGATAGGTGGTGTTAAAGTAGATTTACTTCTTTGAGTGTTGTTGTGCTAATGAGGTACGTGTCTTTTGGCCCATTTGGGCGGTGTAATTTGGATTTGAACAAAGTGGGTGACTCTCGAGAAAGTTCCAATAGGTTCGAGGTTTATATATAACAATTGAGAAATTCTCCGAACTTGTGTATGGATAAAATCTGAGATTTGCGTTTGGTGGTGCCTGGACTTGCGAAAATTCTGTATGACTATGGATTCTACATTTTAGTATAAGGAAGGTAAGAAGAACAATTTCAAATTTACATAAGGTATTCTCAGAGTGAGTGTTACAGTTGTGGTATTTTTGAAGGTGCTTAAGAAGAATACATTTGCTTATGGGCCGTAGGGCATTGTGGTTCTATGTTAGGTTTGTGGGTGAGCTGTGGCTAAAGATCGTGGCGTTTTAGCAAGGAGAAGTATCAATCTGAAGACAGACTCGGAAGAAACTCAGAGAAAATACGACAAATGGGTAGTAGGTTGGATCAGTATGGTAATGGATATGATCGATTCTCTGGGTGCTTATGATGTGGGGATTTTCTACAGGTGCTTTGTGGCAATGCTCTTGGGTTTTGGCGACCAGCGTGGCTGGGTTGAGTTAGAGAGATTCGGTTCTGATAGCTTGGTTATGTGCAAATGGGTTTCAAAGAGTTCTCAATGGTTTTTACCACGGTTCGAGGAGTATATTTCCTACCGGTGTGAGGAATATGTTGCATATTGGAATTTTCTCCGGGATGAGATCAAATGGAAGGTTTCTGACTGATCGGTTATGTATTCTGCTTGTGAATCAGAGTTGATTATAAGATTCTTGTACTCTTCGCATGATGGCATGGTAGACGCGGTGTATTACGTGGGATTGAGATTTGCTTGTGCAAGGTCACAGTTCAGTTTTGAAGGGAAGGATATAAATTCGTAGGCAGCATGGGCGGTTTCAAATGACTAGGCAAATGATATTACTAATCAGTATGGCCTGATGAGAGTATACATTTCAGAAGGGGCAATGTGTTTTGATTTATGGGCACTTCGTTGGTATTATGGCACTCTCCTGGTTGATCGACTGCTGATATTCAAATTTTGTCATGTGGCACGGAAGAATTTTAGAAGTATTTCTCGTGGGATAATCATGTATGAGAGATGTGTTAGACATTCTGGCGGTGGAGTTGGGATCAGATATGAGATTCGTGTGTTCTATGGATTTGGAGACTGGGAGTTCTCAAGAGCAGGTTGTTTTCATGGTTGTGGACTTTGAAGTCATGGTCGAAGCTTGCTAGACGATAATATGTGTTATGATTCAGTCATTGTGGGCTTTCGGGGGGTTATTTATCCATGTGTGGGTGCCCAGAGTCGATTTGGGGGGCCCATTGGTAGGCCCGACTAGGATGGGTATTCTACGTCGAGTCGGATTGGTTGGCTCTGTACTGCTATTATTGAGGGATGTTCCATTCAGTTGTTGTTGAGCTTATTCGTGTTTTGAAATGATCCGTGAGTTACTCTTTTATGCTACGAGGGGTTGCGATTCGTGAGTTATATGCACACACGGTGTGGTTCTATTTGGGCTTTATAGTGGGATTTGAGCGAGATGAGTATTTGAGTATTGCGTGATTGTTTGCGCATTGGCTATGTTCTTTTCGGATTGTGGTATTGTACTATTTTCTCTCCGGGGTTACGGTAATGCACCTTGGGTACTTGATGTCGAATTTCGTGTGGTTATTAATTTTGAGCATGGTGGCTGAGGTATTTCATATGGATCAGTGTTTGGACGGGGTCACGTATTGCAGCGGAGTTATCTTGAGATATGATCCCTTGTGTTAGATTCGTGTGTTTTGGTTCTACGGTGTGTGAAAGGTTCTTAGCATTATGTTATGGTGGTACTTGTTGAGCTTGCGGGACAGTTCTCCCGTCTGAATCAGTTTTCTATGATTTGAGTATATTTGGAAGGTTGCTTATTGGTGCACGGATTGCACGGGTTATGGTGTCAGATTGTATTGATGTGGCATGTCACTAGATTGGTCGTGTTGGATGAGATGAGATCATTGGACCAAGAATGGATACTATCGGAATTGATTACAATATGTTTGGAAGGATAATATCGAAAGTCGGCTTAGAATTTGCTATAGTTCTTGTCGAATGAGAGGGAATCCCATGACTGGTCGATTTGATGAATGGTTATGAGTTCTGCGTGTTTCTTTCATCATCAGCAGTGTACTAAGGTTTTAGAATGAGGTTTTATTTGATATGAGGTTTATTACCAGTATTGGGTTGTTTTGAGCAGCTACTGTGATTTGAAATTATCGCTATGAGTATTTGAGTTATGTGGTACATCATGTGATTACATCTTGGGTTATGGTGAAGGCTTGTTACAGTTTGTTCAGACTTATACAGTGTGTAGATGCGAGATTCTGATCTTATACAAATTCCGAATGTTGGAAATTGGATTCTAAGGTTTATGGGCTAGGTTGAATTAAGAAACTATAGTTATGCTGGGTTGTCGGGCCTATATGGGATAGGGTGACGCGAGATCACCCCCGGGTATGTGCATGGTAAGGTTACACGACGATTTGATGGCTTTTAGAACAACTCTTGGCACGTTCGAGGACGAACGTATGTTTAAGTGGGGGAGGATGTAACGACCCCACCAGTCATTTTGAGCATTTACACTTCGCTCGGTTGTTTGAGGACATGAGTAGCTCCGTATGATGTATTTTGACTTGTGTGAATCGTCGGGTTTGACTTTCAGGTTATTCGAAATCAAATTGGAAGAAAGAATTTCATTGTTGAAACTTAAGTTGGAAAAGTTGACCGGATATTCACTTATGTGTAAACAATCTCAGAATTGACTTTTGATGATTCAAATAGCTCTGTATGGTGATTTTGGACTTAGGAGCGTGTTCGAAAATATTTTTTGGAGGTCCGTAGTGGAATTAGGTTTGAAATGGCGAAAGTTGAATTTTTGGGAAGTTTGACCGGGGAGTTGACTTTTTGATATCGGGGTCGGATTCTGATTCCGGAAGTTGGAACAGGTCCGTAATGTCGAATGTGACTTGTATGTAAAATTTGAGGTCAGTCGGACGTGATTTGATAGATTTTGGCGTCGTTTGAAGAATTTGGAAATTTTGAAGTTTATTAGGCTTGAATCCATGTGTAGTTTGTGTTTTCGATGTTGTTGGAGGTGATTTGAAGATTCGATTAAGTTTGTATGATATTATAAGAGTTGTTGGTATGTTTGGTTGAGGTCCCGGGGGGCCTCGGGTTGATTTCGGATGGTTAACGGACTTGGGATATGATTTGAGAACTTGCTGAAGTCTGAGAGCTGCTGGTGTCACCGCACCTGCGGAGAGGGGACCACAGATGTGATGCTGCAGGTGCGGCAGGTTGAGCGTAGGTGCGGAAAGGGTGGAGACCAGCAAGGGTCGCATGTGCGATGGTTTCTCCGCACCTGCGATAGCACAGATGCGGACCATGGGTCGCAGGAGCAGAGGCAATCAGAGTTAATCATTTTCGCAGGTGCGCCCAGAGTTTTCGCACCAGCGGGCGCGCAGGTGCGAGCCCAGGCTCCGCAGGTGCAGAACTGCCTGGGCATAACCTATATCAGCGGGGTCCGAGATTTTTGGCTTCATTTCATCATTTTGAGCTCGGATTTTAGAGATTTTGAGAGAGCTTTTCAAGTGGGATTCTTGAGGTAAGTTCCTTGTCTTCATTTTTCTTCAATAATTATGTTTCCCCACTGATTTCCCACCTAGATGGTGTGTTTTTGAGGTGTAAATTGGGAATTTGAGGCTAGGGATTTGGAGAGTTGGTTTTGACGATTTGAATGACCAATTGGTGTCGGATTTTGATGAATTTTATATGGTTAGGCTCGTGAGTGAATGAGCTTTCAGATTTTGTGACTTTTGTCTGATTTTGAGACGTGGGCTCGGGGGTCGGGTTTGGGCCGATTTCGGATTTTGGCTATAATTTCGTATTTTTCTTATGGAATTAATTCCTTTAGCCTATATTGATTGTATTGAACTTCTTGTGGCTAGATTCAGAATGTTTGGAGACGGATTTGAGTTATTTTTGGTTAGTTTTGAGCCGTTCAGAGGTCGGAACGCGCGGGATGGCATCTTTGGAGCATCGCTTGGCTTGCTCAACATTGGTATTGGCTTGTTCGAGGTAAGTAACTCTTCTAATCTTGGAACTGAGGGTATGAACCTTGAATACATCTTATGTGATTTGTTGGGAGGTGACGCACATGCTAGGTGACGGGCGTGTGGGCGTGCACTGTGAAAATTGTGACTTAATTTTTTACGTGGAATTTTATAGTAAACTAATCTTGGTATTTTCCTCGTATTGTCATATGTTAAAGGAATTTGAGCTGAGAATCATATTAAAAATCATGTTGAGGCTATGTGCCAGTACTATTGGGACCCACAGAGGTCATATTGATGTGAATTATTTGTTTTAAATTAAAAATTTATACTCAGTCATATTCATGTCATTACAAATCATATCTCAGTCTCTGTTATTATTTATTGATACATCATATCATCATTTTTTGGCTATTTTCATGATATTGTGAGTCCATGAGAGAGAGAGACTAGAGAGATTGATGACTGAGTGAGGCTGAGGGCCTATTGTGAGGATTATTATGTGGATCGGGGCTGCCCGCCTGCAACAGGCCTTATAGGCTTTATTATAACACGTGTGTTGTCCATGCGGATCCAGATATTATTATAGCATGTGAGTTTTCTGTGCTTCACGTGAGTTGTCCGTGCGAATCCAGATATTATTATAGCACGTGAGTTATCCGTGCATCACGTATTATTTCTTCCATTATGCAGTTTCTATCTGCACCTGAGTCTAGTAAAGCTAATTTATTTAGTGTAATATCTTTTACCTTTAAGGTAATGGGAATATGGTAGCTTTGGGCTTTTGCTTTTGTAATTTTGGCCACAACTGTACCATTAACTGAATCGTCATCATATTTATCATCTTCTGAGAAATATTCACCAATTGTTTCTTTCTTATTGGCTGCTTGTAATATTTCTTTTGTAAGATTTTCCATTTCTATTTTGTCAAGTCTAAGCTTAACCGCTTTTATTTCATCTTTTACAGATTTTAATTATATCTGTAGATGTTGAATAGTAGGTTTATCATATTTGACAGAAAATCTATTCATAACTTCTTTCATATTAAAAGGTTCTATTTTATGATGATTTCCCTTTTGATTAATGATGATATTTTTTAATTCTATTAAATATTTTCTTTTGATTTCTTCATCATCTATGTGATTTATAACATCAAATAAGACTTCTTTAGAGTCGTTAGTAATAACCTTAATAGAATTTTGTCTGCACACATATATTGCGCCAATGCAGCTACTGTTGTCTTCTTTAGAACTACTGCTACTGTATGAGCTATATGCCATATTGATTACTTCATCGTCACTGTCAGAATAGCTTTCATCTGATGATGACGATAATGTGTTTTTATCATTTTGTTCAAGAATAGCGAATAACGTTTCTTTAGTATTTTCATGAATTTCTAAGCTGTTAACCTTTTTGTTCTTCTTGTTGGTGACTGGGCATTCATTAGCTCTATGCCCTATCTTTCCACATGACCAACGTTTATCACCATGTTCTTTTTTAGAACGTCTTTTGAACCTTTTCTTTTTAGGGGTTCCTTCTTTCTTTTCTTTACGCTCATGGCGTTTTTTGGATTTTTCAGAAGATGTTTTGTGTTGTTTTGCTCTTTTAGATGGAGCAACAATTGTTTTAAAACCAAAGTCTTGGCAGAAACTACCTAACTCTGTTTTAGATTGGAGTTTGTCCTTTTTAATAAGATTTTTAAGTTTTAAGTCTGTACATAAGTCAAGACCTGTTACGTTAATGAAACTGATTAAATCTCCATATGTAAGATTATCATATGGGATTTGTCCGTTAAATCTATCTTTGATTTTAGTTCTTACTTTTTCGGCAAATAATCTTGGTAGTCCGCTGATAAATCTTTCTTTCCAGAAAGCACTACCGCAGTCTTCTCTAATCATTACTTTTTTTTACAATCATGTCTTTATACCACCTAAAATTTGTTAATTTTGGGCAGTTAAGATTGTTAAGAAGTTCTAAACTCCTATCTTGAAAAAGTTTTGGTTCTCCAATAAAGTGTTTAGCAATACAATAAATTAAAGTTGCAGAAGCATCTTCTCTAGCTTCTTGTTCTGCAACTTGCATTCCTGATTCGGTTTTTACTACAGCTGCAACCGTAGTAGCTCCTAGGATTTGATTTTTATTTTCTTCGGAAAGATAATTGTCCCACCAGTTTTTTAACATTCCAGTGAATCCTGAAATTATTAATGTTGCATCATATTTATCTGATGCATTTTTCATTTTATAAGTAGTAACTGCAATTCCAATTTCATGAAGTTTTTTATAGATTTGACTTTCTGCTAATCCATCTATGTTCCATTATGTGATTCCAGTTCCATTATGACTGGCGCTAGTTAAATAGATATCTTCTTCGAATTGGACATATGGGAATGATGCCCTATTGTAGTAATTCTTTTTATTAGAATGTCTTGGGTCATTAGTAATTCTATTGATTTCGGAGTCAATATTTTTAATTATAGAGATTGCTTTTCTTGTTAGCAAGGATTTTATTTTACTAACTGTTTCAGAAATTTTCTTAGAAGCTTTTGCTAATTTTTCAGGGGAATCTCCCTTTTCCTTTAAAGCATTATATTCGGCTTCAGTAGTACTTAATCTATTTTGTAAATTGTGAAGCTCTATGGCTTTATTGTTTTTACTAGTACTAGCTTGATTGGAATCTGTATTAGAGATGATTAATTTAGTTTTAAGTTGATCTTCTATTTTACCTAGAAGTTCATTTGTAAAGTCGAATTTTTCATTTAACTGAGGAAACTTCTCTTTAGAATATTCCGAAAGTTTTATTATTGGATGTGTTATGGACCTTGTGGGAACTCCTAATTTTGTTGGTATCTTTTAGTTGGTTTGATACCACATATAATAGGTTATTTGTGTAATTATTTTGCATAATTATTTTATTAATATTTTGTTAGTTGGTCCACTTTCATTGTGAACGCTTTCTCTTTTAAAAGGGGAAGCTGCGATTACTTCATTTTGAATTGGTAGTAGAATTTCTTCTAAGGGTGGAGTAGTGACTTCTATTATACCTTTATTTTTGGTATACCATTTATTAACTAACACTTGAAGGGATTCTTTTTGATTTGCAATCTGTCCTGTTATTTCAAACCATTTAAAGAATTCAATATCACATTTGATTCTTTTTAAATCTTTAATCCATTTATATTTGAAAAATAATCTTTGTTTTAAGGAATACGTATGTACGTACTATTTTCTATTAATAATATTGTTGGGGTGTAACCACTGAGCATCTAGACTTTTCCAATCTATTTCAAAGTCATCGGCTCGGATTACTGTTAGTTGATCAACTGTTTCCGTATTTGGGCTTCTTGGAGTAGCTATAAAGGGTTTATTTTGATAAATAACTTGGGGAATAGTTTTGTTAAAGTCAACTCATTTAAGTTTTGTGTTAATTTCTTCAATTAACTCTTTATTATATCATTTAAACTGATAAAATAAATGCGGAATTAAAATAGTAAGACAAAAATACTTACTTGATGAAAGCTTTATTCAAACATAAGTAAACATTATACAGAGGAGAGAAATGATAGAAAGAAAATCTTTGGAAGTTTTCTGATGTCTTTGATTACAAATTTTAAAGTCTATAGACTTCTGAAAATTCGTTGAGTTAATATCAACCTTACAAATGGACGATCCTAGCTTGCTGTCTTTTGCTTTGCTGAAGGGGCAAATACTATTTTTGTCCTTTATGGTTAGTCTTTGTCAAGTGACTCTTTCTTTTTTGAAGAGTTGTTTTGCCTTTTGAAAAATCTACTTTGTTTTGTCGGGTGAGACATCTGACTTTTGTGAAGGGTCAGATGCTATTCTTCATCTACATAGGTACAATTATTTTCATTAGTCTGTAATACACTCTATATATTACAGCTATTTCTCTTGTATTAACTTTGCTATTCATATTTTTTATTTTTATATTAAGAGTTAATGTATCCAAAACGTTCTGGTCATTTATGTCAACTGAAAAGTTTGGATAACAATTTGTCAAGTGACTCTTTCTTTTTTGAAGAGTCGTTTTGCCTTTTGAAAAAGCTACTTTGTTTTGTCGGGTGAGACATCTGACTTTTGTGAAGGGTCAGATGCTATTCTTCATCTGCATAGGTACGATAGGCTTGAGCTATACCCTGTGGGTCTTCCATGTCTCCGTTGTCTTGATTCTCTGTTGAGGAGGATGCTGATGCTGCTTCTAGCATGGCTTGTACTTCTACTGGGCTTGCTGTATCAATATTAGCTAAGACTTCTAAGAGTCTCTTTTTTAAATTTGATTTGGAACTGGTTGATCCCATTTTGCTGATTGGCTTTGGTTTCTTAATCTCTCTGGATTCAAGAACCCATCCTTTGATTTTTGGTATTTTCACTAAATATTTAATACGTTTGATTTCTTCAATTTCAAACGACCAACTGATTATATATGAATTTTTTTTTGCAAAGTAATATTTGCAGATTTTAATATGATTAGGTAGAGTAGAAATCTCCTGTTCTTTTTGGAATCTCTCATAGTGGGTGTGGAAGCTTCGGGGCATTGATTGCTCTGTTCCACCAAATATTTTCCACCAGTCGTAGAACCATCTTGGTATGACTGATTTTGCTGCTTGTTCGCTGTACTTTACGAACCATGTGTGTGAGCCTGGGCGTAGGTAAATAAAATTGTACCAAGCGTCCATGTAATCTTTGAAATTATAGGTTTTGTCACGATCCAAAATCCTAACATGTCGTGATGGCGCCTATCTCAATACTAGGTGTCACGACCCAAAATTCATAAAGGTCGTGATGACGCCGGACACCACTGTCAGGCAAGACAATAATGAATACTTAAGTGGGTTCTCATTTTTGTTACTTTTGAAATCATATTTTCCTTCAATTAAATAGAAAAAGATGGAGTTTACAAAGTTAATAATAATATTTTTAACAATTTCAATACAAGACAACCCATAATCACCCCAAAACCCGGTGTCACAAGTGCATGAGCATTAACTAGGAATGTAGAATAAAATACAACAGCTGTCCGGAATACAAATTGGACAGGAAAAATGTAAGTACTCTGAGGGAGACTCTGTTGGCTGCGGATTGCCGTATAGGATGCAGCTCACCTAAGTCCCCGCCATAATCGCGCCTCTGTGCCCACAAGGCCGCTAAACATATATGTACCTGCACAAAAATGTGCAGCAAGTGTAGCATGAGTACGTAAATCAACGCGTATCCAGTAAGTATCTCGCCTAATCTCGAAGAAGTAGTGACGAGGGGTCGACTCGGACACTTACTATGGGCTATAATTAATATACCAATGATATGATCAAGCATGGATCACGTAGAATGGCTATAAGCCCGATATCATAAAGTAAGTAAACAATTCTTTTGTTAACAAGAAGTTTTTCTCAAATTCATTTTCATCATTTTAACAGTATATATCTCAGGCCAATGAGGCAATATCAATTATTATAATTTCCGAAGCAATTAATACAATCATGCACAAGTCATGCCGAGGTCGTACGGCCCGATCCAACAATAAAAATAAATTGTGCACTGCCGAGGGTCGAACGACGCGAACTATAGATGCATCTATAAATTTCCCCGCTCACAAATCATATATGCGATGCGGTCCCCGCTCGCGAATCATACATGCGCCCCGGTCAAATATAAATTTAAGGAAATACCCCCTCGCAAATCATACCTGCGACGCGGCCAAATATAAGTTTAACATTTAAATCATATTTCTTTCTTGATTCTTTTTAAAATAATGGAAATTCAACTTGAATCTTTTTAAGGAAATTACCCCACTCGTGAATCATACCTGCGATGCGGTTACACATAGATTTCTTAAGCTATTATAATATTCCTCAATTCTTTTCGAAATTACGAAGTTCAAATGAAACCTTTTAAATCTTATATTCTTCAAATTTCCATTCTTTCAAGACAATTACTACTCAAGCTCAATCTTGCTTCTTCTCAAGGCAAACAATAACATAAATCGACAACAATGTCAACACGACATGATGTAAACCTAGACTACCCGGACATAGGCATAACTAGTAGCTACGTACGGACTCTCGTTACCTCGTGCGTACGTAGCCCCCACAATTAGAAGCATATATTAATTTATTTCACCTATGGGGTTAATTCCCTCTTATAAGGTTAGAAATGAGACTTACCTCGCTCCGAAGTTCCATAACCGACTTCCGATCCCTTCAAACAACTTGAATCGATGCACCACGCTCCAAAACTAGCCAATAATTATGCAAACCCATTAATATACTCAAATACTCAATATAATCTAGTTTATAACAAATTTCTAACCCCGATTGAAAAGTCGATAAAATCGCCCTCAGGCCCACGTGCCCGGATTCTGAAAATTTTCGAAGTTAATCATTACCCATAACCTTATGAACTCAAATATATGATTTATTCCCAATTCCATGCCCAAATTCGTGGTCAAAATCCAAAAATACTAAATTCTAGGTCTTCTACAAAACCCCCACAATTTATACTAATTTCCATGTCTAAATCCATATATAAACCATGTATTTAACTTGCAATAGGTGGGAATTAACTTACCTCCAAGTTGCTAGGTGAATGCTCCTCTCAAGAAGCTCCAAAGATCGTCCAAGAATGAAGAAATGAGCAAAAATGCTCAAATCCCCGCTTTAAACACTCACTGCCCAGCGATCATCGCGCTCGCGGCAAAATCCTTATGCGATGTATTTTTCGCACCTGCGGCTTCGCACCCACGGCAAAATTCTTCGTGCCTGCGATGGATTTTTCGCACCTGCGGCTTCGCACCCGCGACCCTTTTTGCGCAGGTGCGATCACACCAGATATCAGCTGCCTCAACTCTTCTTCAAATTCCAAATTCGATCCGTTAACCACCCAGAATCCATCCGGGCCCTCCCGGGACCCCGTCCAATCACACCAACCAGTCCAATAATATAACACGGACCTGCTCGAGGCCTCAAATCACATCCAACAATATCGAAATCATGAATCGCACCCCAATTCAAGCTTAATGAACCTTAAAACTTCAAACTTCTATATTCAATGCCGAAACCCATCAAATCACGTCCGATTGACCTCAAATTTTGCACACAAGTTATATTCGACCTTACGGACCTACTCCACCTTCCGAAATCAGAATCTAACCCCGATATCAAAAAGTCCACTTCCGGTCAAACTTCTCAAAAACCTTCAAATTCCTAACTTTCGCCAAATGACTCCAAAATGACCTACGGACCTCCAAATCCACTTCCGGACGTGCTCCTAATATCGAAATCACCATATGGAGCTGTTCCCAGACTCATAATTCCAAACGGACATCGATAACATTGAAATGCACTTCAACCCAAATTTACGGAATTCTTCCAAAATGCTAACTTCCACAATAGGTGCCGAAACGCTCCCGGGGCATCCAAAACCCGATCCGAACATACGCTCAAGTCCGAAATCATCATACGAACATGCTGGAACCTTCAAATCCCGATTCCGAGGCCATTTACTCAAAAATCCAACCTTAGTCAATTTTTCCAACTTAAAGCTTCCAAAATGAGAATTTTCTTTCCAAATCAACTCTGAACTCCCTGAAATCTCAATTCTGACTATGCGTACCAGTCATAATACATGAAGTGAAGTTGCTCATGGCCTCAAACTGCTGAACGACGCGCTAGAGCTCAAAATGACCGATCGGGTCGTTACACTAGGCAAGCCGATAATCTTCATAAACCACAATTTCTCTTTAAGTTTGAAAATACAATAATTAAATACAATACAAAAATCCCACAAATACTGATACGAACACTCCCCAAAAGCTGGTGTCACTGAGTACATGAGCATTCTATTATGAATACAAGTCTGGAAAATACGGTCTATGATAATCTGAGGCCAAATACAGTAACAAGGAGATAGGGAAGGAGAGACAAGGTCTGCGAAATACAGCACCTACCTCTGAATCTTCGGAAAATCAACTGTGCTAGAGAATCAACACCCGCTATGTCCGGAAATACTTGGATCTGCACACGAAGTGTAGGGTGTAGTATGAGTACAACCAACTCAGCAAGTAACAATAATAAATAAGGAACTGAAGATAATGACGAACTACACAGTTACAGTTCATTTCCAGTAATTCCAGCAAGGAATAGATATGCTTTCAAATCCGGCAGTTTAAGTCAAATCAATTTTATACAGTTCAAGTTCATATAATCCGGATATAAAATCTTTCAGAGAATTTCACAACAATGACAGATAGCAACTAAGTGCAACAACAAATGAAAAGCAAGTACAACCTCTCAGGCAACAAATACTCAACTCGTCACAACAGCTCAACCACTCGGCTCTCAACCCTCAGCACTCACACTCAATAGGTACCCGCGCTCACTGGGGGTGTACAGACTCCGGAGGGGCTCCTACAGCCCAAGCGCTATAATCTGCACGGCCAACTCACGTACTGCACAGACAACTCACGTGCCATTATATCAATATCTGGATCCGCACGGCCAACTCACGTGTTACACAGACAACTCGCGTGCTATAGTATCAATATCTCACAATCAGGCCCTCGGCCTCACTCAGTCATAAATCTCTCCAGTCTCTCGGGCTCTCAATAATCATGAAATCATCCCAAACAACAATGATATGATGCATCAATAATGAACAATAGAGACTGAGATAAAATAAATAAGTAAACTGTGACTGAATACCAAACAACAATTTAGCAGATAATTCAACATGTACACGACCTCTGTGGGTCCCAGAAGTACCAACATATAGCCTAGACATGGTTTCTAACATTTCTTATAGTCAAATTTCTACAACACATAGAGAGCATATAGCTAACAATAAATTATTCAACTTTATAGTTTCACGGGACGGAACAAGTCACAATCCCCTCGGTGCACGCCCACACGCTCGTCACCTAGCATGTGCGTCACCTCCAAAGTAATCACATGATACAAAAATCCGGGGTTTAATACCCTCAGGACCAGATTTAAAACTTTTACTTACCTCAAACCGCGTAATTCTTTATTCCGCTATGCCCTTGCCACGAGAATTAGTCTCCGAAAGCCTCGAATCTAGTCACAAATAATTCATCTCAGTCAATAAAATTTATTGGAATTAATTCCATAAGAAAATACTAATTTTCCATAAAAATCTAAAATTTAGCTCAAAAATTGCCCGTGGGGCCCACGTCTCGGAACCCGACAAAAGTTACAAAATATGAATGCTCATTCAACCATGAGTCCAACCATATAAATTTTACTCAAATCCGACATCAACTCGACCCTCAAATCTCCAAATTAAA